CCTCTTGCCTTCGGAAAGGGCTGCCAGCCGCCAGCCGCCACATGTTCTGTGCTTTGTCTTGCCGTCACCTGCTGGCCACGCTTACCCATCCATGCCAGCATGAGGGGGGGAGAGGGGGGGACCCCTTTCCGCCATTCACTGCTCAGGTTGCGCCGAGAATGGACCGGGTAACCTCTGAGCCAAGTTCCCCCGACGGGATGCCTCTCACTTGCCACATTGGCCTTTCTCGAGCAACCCCTTCGTGGATGGCGCTGTCCTCGCAGCCTTCTTGCCATTCATCCACTTCCCCATAAATCTCTCCAGTGTACCTTTTTTTCTCTCCTCTGGCCAAAGCATAGGCAGGGCAGGAGCCTGGAGCAGGATCCCGTACCACTAACAGAGCCAGCGGGACAGAGAGAGAGAAGCGGTAGTGGCAGGGAAAAGGAGGGACCCCCTGAAATCCTTGCACCCGTAAGCGAAGGACCTTCCTTAGCAAGCTCTCCCAGAGGGTTGGAAGAGAAGGGACAACTCAGATCCCAGCCCCGAAAGGCCAGGCAAGAGTGGTCTTGTGCTCACCCATGAACCCTGAGGAGGCTGTGGAGTTGGAAGCATGTCTGCAGATATTTTGAGGAGAGTTGTTGGTACTTTTTTGTTTGTTTCAGATTTGAGAAGGTCAGCACGTAAGCCCAGCAGATCAGCACTTCCTCTATATCTGCCATCGTCCTTGTTGAACTGGAGGTGAGGCAGAGCCGGCTTCTGTCCCTCTCTGGCAAAATGGGAAAGTGCCAGCTCAGGAGGCAGAAGGCCCTCGGTGGTCTCTCTTGCTACCTAGAGAGGGTTTGGGCAACCTCCGGACGGCCGTCAGCCTGAGTTCCCTGCCTTAAAGGCAGGCTCAAAGGCCTTCAGCTTACCTATCATGCACGCTTGCAAAGGCGCGGGCTCTCGGAGGGGAGCTGAAGCCTTGAGATCCGGGAAGCCAGCAGCCTTGGGGGGAGCGGGGCAGTAAGTTAGCCTCTGGGATCAGGATTGAACCCCCTCCTGTATGACAGGCCTCTCTGAGGCAGCTGGCAGCCCCCTTGAGCCTCCTCGTCCTCCGGGCATCGCTTGCATGACAGCTGCCAGGGAGAGGGGTCTCTTGAAGAAGGCAGGACCCCTTTCCGCACTCTGAAAAAGGAGCGGCCAGCTTGTGGACGGTAGTTTGGTAGGTGGCTCCCCAACGGGGCATGTGGGGATTGGCTTAGAGGCAGAGCCCCCGGTCTTCTCAGCTTGGGTTGAAGCTTCCTGCTGGGCTCCGAGGGCCCCCTGCTCCCACCCACCCTGATGCATTTTCCGCATGAGATCGAAGGAGGGGCCGCCACCACTATCGGAAAGCTAGTGGGTGGGCCGGAGGGAAGAGCGTGGGCGGGCCGGCCGGCCTCCACCACCACTGAGCCTGCTCAGCAAAGTCCTGTTTCTGGCCCTCTTTAAGCAGGGCGAGCGCTTCCGTCAGTCCCATCATTTATCACAGATTGTGCACGGAGTGGCTCAAGGACTCCCGGTGGGGGGGGGTACAGCTTCTGCCCCCCTTTGGCTCTCCAACCCTTCCCTTTCCCTTATTTAACATCTCCTTTCCCAATGTAGCTTGGCTGTGTGTTTGTCTTGAATGTTTGCCCCAGACTTGAAAAAAAAACAAAGATAGCAATACTTCACCGACTGTCAGGCGGGAGCATCCCATCCACCTCTTGTTGTGAGCCCCAAAGGAAAACTGGAAGTAAATGGAAAGGCAGGCAGGAGGGGGCAGAGATCGGAAACCGGTGGGAGCTGCTGGATTTTCTTTTCGGTGGATTTACAAGCTGGGCAAGACACCAGAGACAAAGATCCTATTGTAAAAATTACAAAGAGAATTTGTATAGAGACCTATTTTTGTATTACATCCAACTATCCCTGCATGTCAGCAATAAAATTTCATAATGTAGAAAGAGTTGTGCCTCGTGTCTCATGAAATACCATCAGCCTTTGTCCAGGCCAGGCCCGGTTAGTTCTGCTTTGAGGGACTTTCTTTCTCTTGTAAAGTGTCCGGCTCTTCATACCTGAGAGTGGCGGGGTGTTCTATTTTTATAATCAAATCCATGACAGTGAGCGCCGTGGCTGCTACCACTGCAGGGAAGCCAAAGGGAGGGTTCTCCTCCCCCCCACCACCCAATGCAAGACTCTGCCTGTTGCTCATCTGTTACCTCTGCGGTTCGTGGCCTTTAATCCCACTTCCGGATAACGGGAAAAGCCTCGGGCAGCGCCTGGCGAGCATCCTCGCTGAAAGGAAAGGGAGAAAGAAGCCCCGAGCGCCTCACCTTCGCCAGGGAAGGCGCCAGGGGGCGCTCGTGGGCCGGCCCGAGGGTGAGCCCGGCGCTTTCTCGGAGGGAGGGAGGGAGGGGCTCCGTTCCCCCCCCCCCCAAAAAAAGAGGCGCCGATAGAGGCGGGATGGGGCGGGTTGCCCGGGGAGGCGGGGGCAGGCGCGCGTCTGGAGAGCCTCCTCCCCATCGCCTCTGCCTCCAAGCCCTGGGAGCAGGTCCTCCTCCTCCCCCTAGCTTCCCGCCTGGCATCAGTGCCTCCTGCCTGGCGGCGAGAGGCGGAGGGGGACGTGGCCCCCCCAGGACGGGGCGCCACCCGGACCGGACCGGCCTGCCTTCTTCCTCGCCATTCCCAAGGGACCGGGAGGGGGGCTCCCCCCCCCTCGCCTCCTTCCCGCGGCGGCCGCTCGGAGCTCCGAGGGACGGGGTGTCTCTGGTCCCCGAGGGCTCCCCGTGAGGGGCATCCCCGACGTTGGCAGGGCAGCCCGCCGCCCGGTTCTCTCGACAGGATGGCCCGGCTGCCGTAAGCACCTGGGGAGGGGGGTCATTTTCGGGAATGACTTCTAAACTTGCCCTGAAGGCAATGCCTAGTTTTAGGCCCATCCAGAGGTCACCCCCGAAATGGGCACCTTTCCGAGCTCCTCCACCGGTGCCTTCCTGCTCAAAAGGGGGGAGGGTGTTTGCTGTCTCCTCGTTCCTCCCCCCCCTTGCCGTTCAAGTCCCACCACCGAGACTCTCTCATCAGGGTTTGCTCAAATGCCAACAAAGCAACATATTTGGGGAAGAAGGAACCCTTTCCAGATGTGACTCCCCCCCTCCGTCCTTCCCTTCTTCTCCTTCCTGTGGGATCTGCATTCCGCTCTGCGCCCCCCCCGCACCCGCCAGGCCCCTCTCAGCCATTTCCTGTCGCTCAGCAACCTTAATGGGAACCAGAACGCCTTTCTGCCTCTCGCGCCCAGGCAGGCGAACCCGGTGGGAGCAGGAGCGCTCTTTGGCCACCTCGCTTCCCACGTGGGGGGCTATCACCACTGCCCCCCCAGGCTGCCCCGGAGGCCCAGGTGAGTCCCGTGGCAAGGGGTGTAGGGGGGCGGGGGGGCTTTTCCCCACCACTCCCACCCCAGACCCATAAGCAGCCTTCAGAGGCTGAAAGAAGACCATCTCCTGGCTCCGGAGGACCCTTGGCTTGGCTGCGGGCGGGGAAGGGGCTTCTGAGCTAGCTTAGCCCTCCCAGGCTTTTGATTTGGTCAGGGCAGGGACAAGAGTTCAGAGAGGGTCGTATTTTTGCCACGTGGTATGTTCACATGTACCTTTCTGGCCTGATCCTGGCCCTAGACACCTCACCCTCGTTTTCGCAGCCTCTGTGTGCTGGCAAATCTGCAGGGGGGGGGGATTTTTTCCCCTTTCACCCCTGGAAGCCTCTTGGAGTGGCGGCTCTGCAATTCAAAGGGGGGCCAGGACCCCCCCCCCAATCAGGCTGCAAAAAAAAAAAAAAAGGAAAAAAAAACCTGACCCAGGCTTCCGTCAACCGTCGATTTTAATTTTGCAAAGGATGCCTCATTTTTAGGGCAGGTGAATCCTGCAGGGGATGGAAAGGCAGCGCCCACCTCAGGAAGCCGCCGGCCTCTGTTTTCCAGGCATCGCCGTAAGTTCTGCGTCCTGCTAAAACCTGCAGTTCAAACCAAGGCCCAGGGACAGCGGCCAGCGGAAGAGTTGGCAATCCGGGCCCAGTCGCTATCTTGACGGCCCTCCCCCTCTTCACACACACACACACACGCCCCCCCCTCCGCCACATACTTCCAGTCTCTTGACTTTGCTTTAATCATCAACCAGATGTTGCTGGCTCCGGAGGTCAGGAACAGGAGAGGAGATTTGGCGAGTGGGGAGGGAGCCAGCCAGTGTTGCCGGGAGATTATGGGAGCCCTGCGGTCATAGGAGGGGTGGGGGGCAGAGGGAGGGAGGAAGGGAGGGGAGAGGGTCGAGGGGGCTGAGGGCCCAGAGGAAAATGGGGAGGGGGTGTCCCTTCTCAGCATCTTGGCAGAGCAGCCTGCCCTGTTTCTCCTAAGACCCAGCAGAGCCAGGAGAAAACACAGAAATGAACTTGGGGGAGGGGGGGGGCGGAGGCTGAGACAATCCTCAGTTTGTATTCAGATACGCAGGTTGGCTGTGGGATGACCGTTCCCTCTTCACTGTCACCGCCCTGGATCTGGTAGCAGCTCTAAGCAGGTCACATACACTGCCCAAGTCCTAAAAATGGCAAAACAATAATATTGTTCTGAAAATCTTCAGCCAGTTTGAATAAGTGCCCAGAACGTCCGTCTTCTCCTGCAAACCGGCTCCCGCTCTCCTGCTGTTGGGCCTTCGCCATCCCTGTGTGTTCAATGCACAGATTCTGCCCTGGGTCCCCCTCAGAGCCCACCCGGGCCGAAGCCCCTTTGGATAGCAAGGAAAGCCCACTTGCCCTCAAGGGGGATCCCTACCCCCACCTCCACCGTGCCAAAAGAGAGGCAGAGACCAAACGGAGGCACCAGGCCAGCTAATCCTCCCTGAAGTCCACACACACACACCAGCACACACACATCAGCGCTTTTCTACTGCTGGGCAGGGGTGTTAATGTGCCATCAGCTCATTTTCCCCGGTGCCACCCCTCCCCCACAAGTAAATTTCCATGGGCTAATTGGGGATTTGAACCTAGGTCTCCTAATCTATCCAGTACACCACGCGGGGTAAATAAAGCCAAAAATGTCCAGGTGAGACAGAGGTATTTTATTTGCATGGGAATAACAGGGGTCTGAGTTAATTCTGGCTGGCTGGCTTGTCGTTATTGACAGCCACATACAAAAATTCACATCACCAGAAGCTAGGCAGGTGGCGGCCCCGCTCTAAAGACCCTCCAAGCCTCCCCCCCTCCCACCACTGCCACCCGGCAAACCAGGGCAGAGTTTCCCTCCAGCCCCTCGCCTCAGTGCAGGGGCGTCTGTCTGCCAGCCTGGCCCAGCCCTTCTCTGCTGATGCATCACATTCCCAGCATTTCTGTCTTGTGGTCCTTCCTCCCATCAGGATGTTGCTGGGGGAAACGGGAGGGGGGGGCTTTCTGTGCCTCTTCTCCCCAGCTTCAGCCGGGTTGGGGAGAGTCCCCGGCTTTGGCTGCCAGAGTCAAAGGGGCTCCGAGGGAGAAGAAGCCCTGAGGTGCTGAAGCACAGGTGGGTTGGCCATCTCTCACGAGGGCTATAGAAGAGGCTCCTGGCTTTGATCTGTGGGGTTGGACTACTAGATGACCTCTGGGGAGCCCTCCTGCTCTGTGCTTCTAGAAAACTACCTTCCAGTATAAACCTCCAGGGAGAGCGTCCCAAGTGTGGCTGTTATGGTTATGTGATGTCAAATCACCTCCCACTTACCGTGACTGACAAACCAGTGACATGAAAAAAAAAAAAACACCCTAACCCTGAACAGCCCCACTTCGGGTCTTGCAAGGTTGAAGGCGGTGGCTTCCTGGATCAAATCCATCCATCCTATGTTTGGTCTTCCTCTTTTCCTGCTGCCCTCCCACTTCTCCCAGCATGACAGCCTTCTCTCCTGAGTATTCAAAAGTTTGGCAAACAAACAAACAGAAGCACCAATTTTTCAACAGGCTTTCCCCCCCCCTCCAGCAGGGCGCCAGCTTGTCCCACCCTCAGAGCAGAAGGAACCCAGTTGCCTTCCATGGAACTCACGACTTAGCCACACGTTCCTTTCCTCCGGCTTGCGCTCTGCCTTGTGCCAGATTTGAGCCTGATTTGGGGAGAATGGGATCCGTATAGATATATGATGAATTTAGGTTTCTTTCTTGGCTTGTCAGGCTGAAGAAGGCTGTGCCCATAGGG